TATGGAGAGTTGTTAAATTCTGACTTCTCACTTTATTTCATAATGAATTGTTGAATATATACAGCATCTACATATTTATATTAGGACAACTATTAACTACACATAAATAGGTATCATTGCTAGGTTCTAATTTATAGGAAAAGGTATCTGACTTTCTGTTTTTACTCTCAACAAATCAACTTCAAATCTGTCTTAATTACTTCAGAATCTTCAACACTCCCCCTCAAGCTGGATGGAAGAGATCTTTCATTCCCAGCTTGTCCAAGGTTTTTTTGAACATAGGATTCTGAACACCTTTAGTAAGTATGTCAGCAAGTTGTTCTCCGGTAGGCACATAGGGAGTGCATATCAATCCACTCTCTAACTTTTCTTTGATGAAATGTCTGTCTATCTCCACATGTTTAGTTCTATCATGTTGTACTGGATTGTGAGCTATTGCAATGGCAGACTTATTATCACAGTACAACTTCATTGGTTCATCCCACTTGATTCTTAAATCTTCTATGATAATCTTCATCCATAGCAACTCACAAATTCCAAGGGCCATTGATCTGAATTCTGCTTCTGCACTTGATCTTGACACAACACTTTGTTTTTTGTTTCTCAGGGAGTGACTGAATCCTGGTGGTGGATCCATATAAACTTCTTCTTCCAACTCTCCATGTAAGAAGGCATTCTTAACATTGGTTAAATATATACAACATCTACATATCTATATTAGGACAACTATTAACTACACATAAATAGGTATTATTGCTAGGCTCTAATTTATAGGAAAGGATATCTGACTTTCTGTTTTTACTCCCAACATATCAGCTTCAAATCTGCCTTAATTACTTCAGAATCTTCAACATTTTCTTACCTGAACATGCAAGATTCCTAATCCATTTCTCATCAATGTGTATTTGTGACTTCATCAAAAAGTACTTTACCTCAAATCCTCCATTTCAGCACCCCATTCATATGGCATACTGTCTTGTTCAAAGCATTATTTTACTCTTTTCTTTGCTTCTTGCAGTTGCATTTATTATCTTTCTTTGTGCTGGATGAGCTGGATTGAATGATTGAAAATGGACTTTTTTATGAGTTGCAGTCTATTATTGACATGTTGCCCATGGCTGGTGGTTCAATTGGAGGACAGTCTAAAAGTTCAGAAAATTGTGAGACATTTTCTAGCATGCGAAGAAAGAAAAGACGGACTTTTGTGTTTTCTGCAACTATAGCATTATCTGCTGATTTTCGCAAGAAGCTAAAGCGTGGCTCAATAAAAACAAAGCAATCAACTGTTGCAGGACTGAATTCTATAGAAATGCTCCCTGAACGAGCAGGAATGAGAGTTAATGCTACCATCATTGATCTGACAAAGGTGTCGATTGTCGCAAATAAGCTCGAGGAATCATTTATGGAGTATTTGTCTCACATTTGAATTTCTGCAGCTATTAATGTATGAATCTAAGTAGTTGACAATGTACTTGGAGGGTTGTTCTGGAGCTTTTACTGGATTTCTAAATGTATTTTACCACTAAATATTTTACAATTGAGTAGGCCTTGTTGATAGATATATGCTCTGACTTCCCAACATGCACACATGCACGTCTGCAAATTCATGTCTGTAGACTGGTTTGCATGGCCAAAATAGTATTCCTCGGTCATCTGGCTTGTCCTGAGAAATATGAAGGGCTGTAGTTAAATGGCTGCATCCTTTATTTGTTTGCATTCTTTTTATCCTTATTTATAGCACATGGAACAGATTTTATATAAGATTGTTTGGATCTCTTCTTGCTCACTCTGACCTGTACATCTTCACCTTGATTAACTTGTGTAATTCTTTCAAGAGGTGTCAATGAAAGTATCACTTGCACCTTTTGCCTTTGGTTTTGCACTTTACATGTAATGTTCATGTTTTTGTTTTTAACAAAATTTTATTTTATCATTTTGCAGCAGTTGCTTTCTCAATGTAAGTATAATGACTGCAGATGTAGGGAAGAAGATAAAGATGCTTACCTTATTATATATTGAATGTTCATGGACAAGGTCGCGCAATTGTTTTCTGCATATCGATTGCAGCTTTGCACCATATTTCTGCCCTTCTGTGAATTCTATGCATCAATATGTGGACACTTCATGTTCAGATGCAGCAGCGAGATCGTTTGAAGGTTTGTGATTTATTTTTTTCCTTTCTCTTATTTTATTCAAACTGTGATAATTCATTTTTTGGTTTGAATTTTGCATCTGGTGCTGAGTTTATAGCTAATGCATGAGTGCAGTTGTCAACTAAATAATTGAATAAGTAAATATGTGATTTTGTATGTCAGAAGCATGCATTGTTTTGTGTTTTCTTCAACACCAACCACTTTCTCCCGTGTGTTTAATGCTGGCAGTTGACCATTTTCGTCCAAATGAACATGCTATATATTCTTGTTGCCACGGATGTTGCTGCAAGAGGCCTCGACATTCCTGGTGTCCGAACTGTTGTTCACTATCAGCTTCCACATTCAGCAGAAGTAAAAATTGGGATGCTTTAATTCACATTTTTAAAAAGTTGCTGTTTCTTTTGTTTATCTGTTTAATTTCATTTGATCTTTTTGTTAGGTTTATGTTCACCGAAGTGGGAGGACTGCAAATTTTGATGCTTTTACTGATGGATGCAGCATTGCCCTTATCTTGTCAAATGATACATCAAAATTTTCTTCTTTGTGCAAATCATTTTATGATTGAGGATTTTGGAAAGTTAAACATTAGATTTTTTCCATTTGGCATCAATTATATCAACGCAGCACTCAGTATTCTTGCTTTTTTCACAGCGAGCCCTAGATTGTAGTATTGAATTATTGCCCGAATGGTTGTCTCTCTTTGTTTTTATTAACAAAGGGTCAGTATTTAAGGATTGCCTCAAATAATTGTAGGATGATCTCCTCTGTTTATGCAGGAAAGTTTTCAGACATTTCCTTTTGAAGAATTGTACTTGCCAGAGGTGATGAGAAGGCTGTCTCTTACACGTCAAATAGACAAGATTACAGTAACGATTCCCAGGTATATAAATCGTTTGCTTGGACAATGTGAATCAGGGAATCTCCTTATTTTTGTCTACTTAATTTGTCACTGAAACACTACTTCTGCTTCATTCTGTAACTGGTGCGTGTGCATGTGCTTTTATAGGAGAAGGCAAATAAAACCGGGTTTGAGCGAAATGCAGACTCAGTTGAGTTAATGGTGGAGAATGATGACAGTGAGAAGGAAAGAGTGAAACTCCATGCAATTGAAAAATTTACAACAGGTTTTGTTTACTATGAAAGGTTTCTTATTCTCGTTTTGTTCTGTGAAATTTGAGAGTTTGGCCATTCCTTTTTCATTGAACAGGCGATTACAGTAATTTCTTTTGGATTTAACTTGCAGGAGCTTAACACTCTGCCTGGTAATAAAATAAGTAACCTATATACTGAGATTTTTGTTTCTATATTCCTTATTAATACATGTTTGAATGATGAAGTCTGCATGGTAATTGTTGGTTGATACACAAGCTACCAGAGCTTTGCTACAGTATTTACTAGGAGTTTGCAGCTTATGCTAAATTCTGTGTAGTGTTAGAATCTCGGTCGGTTGAATAAAACCTGAATGGCTAATTTATTCAGCTGCAGGTTGTAATAATTTTGATGTTGGCTATTGATGGTGCATGGATGCTTTGTATGTGGCATGCAACTCTTAGGGGGCAGCAGGAGCATTAGCGGCAACTGGCAATCTAGTTTGGCTGGTATCCATATTTCAGATTATGCTTGAATAGATCACCCCCCATGTTGTGTCATGGTATCCTAAAGTAAATAAACTTAATTTTCAAGTGTAAGGATTTTAACTACTGACTGCAACTTTTCCCACAGGCTAGAACTTCACATCTCCTGCAGCATCAGTTTGGAGAATTATCAGCCAAATTTTAGATTTGGGAGATTACAAAAAAAATGAACTCGGTGGTTACTGTTCAAGATTGTGTGGAGCCACTCCAGTCACTCCGAAGTGCTGGCCAGGAGGAATAATTTCACTATCGCATTCTTCCCTACTTTTCATGATTTCTTTATTGAACATAATTATGCAGAGCTCTAAATTCAAAATCTGGTAACGTCTGGACATCAATATGAGTGTTTTCTTTTCTTTGAAACTATTCTATACTTTGTGATGGTGATCATATCTTGGGTTATAGTACATGAATCATTTAAATAATCAATGTAGCTAAGTTTGCTATAAAACGCTGTCGGTTTATAATATTCAGTTGCATAATAATTCTTTGGTGGAGAGAATTTTTTTCCCCGGCAAGATAGTGAAATTATGTGGCTTGAGCACAAGAGAGCAGTGGTAGTTGCAAAGAATGATTTCCTGGGGTGTCCTAACTTTGGCTCCCCCTTCAACGCAGCCACCATTTCCATTTACTCCTCTAAAGAACGAGATAGTGCCCAAACCTAATACCACCAGTCCACTCCCTCCAGTATTTGGTACACCTTGTGTGCACATCTGCGAGGATCAAAGCTGGAAGGCCAGCTATTTTGTTAATTAAAAGAGTCCTCACGGCAACCCCTGGATAGGCTTGTGCTGATTATCCAGAAATTGAACGTGGAGTAAAACTTGTGAGGCTTTTCTAATTATACGAACAGAAGATCCAATTCGTGACTAGTTGCTGATGTATGCAATTTTTTAAAAGGCTCATCATGTCACTGGTAGCTTTGAAAATGCACTGAAAGCTTTTCTGACCTTGGTTCTCATCCTGAAAATGTGCTTAATAGGAATAAGCAAGGAGATACAAATCGTACATATTTGCCATCCTCTTTCTTTCCACTTTGTTTGATTTCTGGCTTCTATAATAGCTCTTTATCCTGTTCTCAGGTGATGTGAAAGATAGGGCCGAAAAACGTATACACATGGAGAGTTTAAGAAGAAAAAGAAGAGAAGAGAAGAAACGTATATTCTCAGCTCTCCATCCCTTCCTTTTGATGTTTTTTTCAACCCAGTTGTCTATCATGCCCTAAGGTTATTTTACTGACATCGTCATACAGGTTTACATGAGAAAAAAAGGTTAAAAGAAGCTGACGAACAGAATTCTTCTTTGGAGATTTAATTCTCTCCTTTTCAATTTATTGGGTAACTGAGGCTTTTCATAAACTGCATTCGATTGATCACCAAAAAAAGAATACAGAAAATATGCAATGTCATTTTAGATGTACAACTACATGTTGAACAAAGTTTTTTTAGCAGGATATGTGAGCATCCTTATCTGAAGCTAGAACATGTAATGTTAATGTTATTGATTCAAATCAAGCTGTTAACCCAAACAAGTGAATGCGATCGAGGGGTCTGAACTCCAGATGTCGACCCCATTCAGATGTTTATTCGTGAGTGCTTAGAATTGTGAGTAGTTTACGATGCTATGAACACAGTAAGTATATACAGTTCAGAATGCTTGCTTGTGAGAATCGTTACCCCAGTAAAGAAATGGGATTGACTAATTGTCCATGGAGTGTGATGGGAGATGGCAATGCCCATTGCATACCAGGAAATCATTGATTTCCCAGCAGGATATGTAAATACTTGTTGCATCAATCCATTTACATAAACTGTTGGTTGTTCTATCATGTGTCTTCTTCCATTCACGGTTGTCCCAGACAAATTGATTTCATTGTTATTCCATGTGTGTTCCTGTCTAGATTGACCAGGCAAAGGGAACTGTGGACTATTTATCTCCTATGAAAAGCATCAAATCAGTTCTTTTTTCCGGACAAGATACAAGCGGCAAAAGGATGATTTGCCTTCTTTTTTCTCTTAATATTGTCTGACATTGTCAAATTTAGTTGGGAGTGTTGATAAAGGCTCATTTGTTTTGCACATATTTCTGTATTTACAGTGTTACAAATATAATTAGATGTTTAGAAATATACCAAACTACATTATTTTATATTATCTAGTTCATCAAAAAATTAAGTTTAAAATGTAAATTTTGTGAAGTAATTTTTATATATTTTTTTAATTGAGTTTTATAAAACTCTGTTTATTTTTTAGTTTTAAAAGCATTTTTTTTTAATTTTGATTTTTTTCTTTACTTAAAATTATTTTTTTTGCATTTTCAAGTAAAAAAAACTTTTAAAAAACAAACATAAATAGATATTTTATATATTTTTTTATACATAAATCTCAACTATAATTTTTACTAAATACATTTCTAAATTTAACTAATTATATTTTTTTTAAACTACAATCATGAAAGTTATGTTTCAAACAAACGCAGTGAATTATATTGTAACTTATTTAAATTATAAATTAATACCAACCTCAAACCTCTAAAACTATGCATTGATTTGAGGCATCCATCCAGGATGCTTTGATATCTGACTTCACTGAAACAATAGAATTTTCATCGACGATTTAAACACCGATGATATTACTCGGGCAGCTTCAATATTTGTGAACCTGAAAATAAATGAAATAAATTCAATAATGATTATTTCATAAATTATGTTGTAATATAAAAAAGAAAAAACTAAAACCTTAAAAAACTAAAACCTTAACAAACTTACATTGAAAGGTCATCCTTCCATTGTGCTTTAACTTACATTGAAAGGTCATTCTTCCATTGTGCCTCGTATTGACGGGTAAATTGATTCCGCTGCGAAGGCACGCCACCTCTGCGCTGTGAAGTAGCGCTGGAAGAGGCAGCCTCGGTTGACGGCACAAGTGGTGTAGGTGCTTCTTTTTCAGAGCACCTAAGGAGATATTATCATCGCTGCTAGACGAACTAGCTACGACGTTACATGAGCGACCAGCTCTGGTTTTTGATCTACGCATATATACAATTTTATACAAATAATTATATAATTA